GGATAACCCGGTTAATTTATCTTATTGAGGGCGATCCAAATCTGATAGACGGCGCGGAAAGCATTAAAACTGCGTGAGTTTTTTGTTTCCTTTGAGGCTCACTCGTTTATCATCGATAACCAGAGCTCTGACAACCGAAATACTTGAAGGATTCGACGTCCAGAGGACACGAGACACTCACGACACAATAAGCAGATATGGAGAGCTTACGAATGCAATCAACAGGCGTTACAGCGGTGAGACAGGTGGCTTGTCTGGTGAAAGCAAGCGATGCATGAGCTACCAGGAGTTCCTGGAGCACTGCAGCGACGTCGAGAAGGAAAGAGTGAGAGATGTGTTCGGGGTGCAACTCATGCAAGTAAGTCGACCGTGTTCGGCGCTTTATCATCTATCTGTGTGTGGTTTGTTACAGATAAGGCATGTAACGGAGGACATAGCTCTTTCCATCCTGGACAGGTATCCAACTGTGTTGGCTCTGGCTCAAGCATACACTGCGCTGGTAAGGATTTGTTTATTTTCTTGGAGTTGGGCTTATATCTCGTTGACAGGAAGGAGATGTTTCCAAACAAAAGAATCTTTTGACAGGGCTTGGGATTCTAAACAAGAACAAATCCATTAGCAGTGTAGTGAGCAGAAACGTTTACAACTTTTTCTGGGCTCCATGACGATTTTTCTACTTGCAACCGTTGGCTAAAGGATAGTATACAGCTCTTTTGACTCCCTCAAATCACATTATAACCCAGGCTGTGATCTTGCGAGCTCACACCGAGGTCAGCAAACAAGATAACCTGTTTCCTCATTAATGAAGCTTGCATTTCGTGCAGGCATAGAAATCTAGTCTGGTATCTATTTAACGCCGCTGAAAGTTGAAGTGCTTGATGCAAAACGCGAAGACGAGGATAGAAAGGATGACAAATGCCACATGCACGCCGGCCATGAGGCCCAGAAAGTCGTAGCGAAAGTTGAACCGGTCCCTGATAAAATCCTCCACTCGGACTGGTGCTTGCTCTGGTATTTGCATGAAGGATTTCACGTCTCCGAGCTGGGAAGTTATCAAGCCGTATAGAGTCCATGCAACGGGAGAAATCCAGTAATACCACTGCCACCACACGGGGATTTGCTGTATCGGTACAAAGCAAAACATGTTAACGAAGTAAGTATTTTCCAGTCTTTCTCTTACCGA